ATAAGCGAGCCCCTTACCTATAAACTTGAATAAAAACTGTAGTCCCAAAGAGGCTAGTTATAAAAAAAAAATAAAATAAAATAACAAATTATATAATAATATATAAAATTTAATTTTATATAAATTAATATTTATATATTATATAAATATAATAAAATGTAACAACTTAGTATAGTTGATAAGTTGTTGCATTTTCAAGTAGCTGAACAAGAGTTTGAATTTTACTTTAAATTTATGAAATGTATTAGAAAGACTATATAGTACTATGTAATGAATCTTTACTTAGAAAATCAAAAAACTAAATAAGACTGAAATATTGGCAAGCATTTCATCAACCAGACTACCAGTAGAAGTAACTAAAAAAAGAACACAACTATGAAGATTAAAGGCATGTTACAGCCCTTTTGAACTATCTGAATTAAAAGTTTAAGATAACTAAAAATATAATAAATAGTTTGTAAAGTGTATACTGGGGTTTGGATGAACTCTATAAGAGTAGAAGTAAATAATGGTAATGACTTTAGCTTGCAAGTACTTGTTATTAGATTTGACATAAGTTATTAAAGTTGAGGTTAATCAGATTGTAGATATAGAAAGCTCTAGCAACAATATTTCAAGAATAAATTAATCTTAAGAATATAGAAATAGCATTTAGAACTTCTAGACTGACAAATATAGCAGAGATATACCAGTAATACAAGTAAAAGTTTGCATTACAGAGGGTTTAAATAGATAATTCCCTAGTCAGGTTATAAATATAGCATATAGTAATATCTATATACAAACTACTTAAATAAGTAACCAAAGTTGCTTATATAGCTAATTATACTCTTTAATATAAAAGTGGGCTCTATTGAGGCTAACATCATGAGCCTCTCTATCCAAGCTTGAATAAAAACCTTAGCCCAAAAAGGCTAGTTAATAAAAAAAAATAAAAATAAATAAATTGTTTATAATAAAAAATTATATATATTTTAAAAAGTTTATTAATTTTAAACAAAATTTAATAAGGTTTGTATAGTATTAACATTTGTAAAAATGGGGTTTATTTTGCAAAGGCTATCACAAATTGACCAATTAACTAATGTATTTATAATAAACAAAATAGGATTACAAAAATAAAAATAATAATATCTTATGATATACCAAGTTAATTTTAATGATTCTACCTCTTTACAATTTTATTTACAAACTTAAAAGATATTTACTTAGTAAAATTGCTTTAAAATTAAATATAAAATTTTTTAACTATTGGTTTAATAATAAAAATAATCCACATACCTTCTACTATTAATATAAAAATTTGGGTTATTGTATTTAATTTAAAATATATCAGGATAGTATATCACGCTTAATGAAGTTACCAATAGAATGTTTGAAATAAATATAATATATAATGTTATGACTTTATAGATAGATCGATGTAAACAATATTAATGTAAGTAATTGATATTTAATATAATGCTAAGATTGTGTTTATAATATTTTTAGCATAAATAATGCAAAATTTTCTGACTTTTGTGACAAATCTTTCAATTAAATATATTAAAATATACTTTGATTTGATTTTAATATTTATAACTTAATGCATACAATATTAATTTCATTAAGTTTAAATCATTAGGTCTGACTGTACTTTAATCCGCATTTGCTATCAGCTAATTTTTGATAAAAAACATACGCTTTATATTCATCCTTTTCGACTCCGATTCCGTTTTGATAAAAACTGCCAACTTTGTATATTCCATCAGTATCCCCCATATCTACAGCCTTTTTATAATAAAAGAACGCTTTTTTTTCATCCTTTTCGACTCCAATTCCATATTGATAACAATAACCAATCTCATACGCTCCAGTAGCACTACCCATATCTGCAGATTTTTGATAATAAATAAATGCCTTATTTTCATTTCTTTCAACTCCAATTCCATTATAAAAACAATAACCAATGTTATATGTTCCATGAGCACTACCCATATCAGCAGCCTTTTGATAATAAATGAATGCCTTATTTTCATCTCTCTCAGTTCCAATTCCATATAGGAAACAACGGCCAATATGCATTACTCCCCTAGCGTGTCCCATATTAGCTGATTTGTTATAATAAAAAAATGCTTTATTTCTGTCCTTTTCAACACCTATTCCATTTTCATAACAATAAGCAAGTTCACTTAATCCACAAGGATCATCCATTTCAGCTGACATTTGATAATAAACGAATGCATAGTGTTTATTTTTTTCAACCCCAATTCCATATTTATATAATTCGCCAAGATCACACATAGCATAAGAATTTCCCATATCAGCAGATTTTTTATAATAAATGAACGATTTATATTCATTCTTTTCAACCCATTTTCCATGACGATAGCAACATGCAAGAATAATTAAAAGTATAGAATTTGATTGATTATTTAAGCACAAATTAATTAGATCTTCTGACTTTAATTGATTTCTTGTCAAATAGTTTTCTATTGAACTAATAAATTCAGAATCATAACTTCCTTTGAATGATTCTTTTTCATGTAATTCGCATAATTCTTCAATTATTCTTTTATCTTTATGCAATTCGCATAATGATAATTTATCAATTATTTGTTTATATAAGAAATCCTGAGATTCATTAGATTCAATAACATCGTGTAACATGTTTATTGCGTAGAGGATTAGAACCTTGTTTTTGAGAGTCGTGGATTTCTTGTTTTTGCTGACCGCTTCTGTAAGTTATTTAAATGTTTTATAAGTCTTGATTTGATATCATTAATGGAAAGAGGGTAGTACGTACGTACGTACGTACATATTTCGGAATAAAGATCAAGTACGTACGCACGTAATATCGTACGAACGTACATGAAACTCCGTGGTACCAACGGAAATTTCTAAAAACAGGTTCATAAGACGAAATTCGTTTGATTGGCTGATGTAGATCAATTGCCTGGGTAACTTATTTATATGCTTTAGAGTGCTTTTTTAGAACTCAAGTGTTACATACTAAAAAAACGAAAAATTTTGCATAAATCGTTTCTCTCGAGTGTCAAAGGACTGCCTTTAAAAATAATATCTAATAATATCTAATTTAAGTATTGTTAGTTTAGTAGCGATTTTGAAATGACAAAGAATAAAAACTTGAAGGTAATTTTTTAAAGTGTTTTTTCAAAACATAAAGTTTCGTTTAAGAACTTTAATATATTATATTTAAAATAAACTTAGTTTAATTTAAATAGGTACAAGTTCTTTAGCAGTAAAAAGACGCGGGCTTAATGTTTAAATTTGGTCTGCTCTTTTAGTATAGTTTGGGATTATTAATCGTAAAATTTTTAGATTATATCATCAGGTAAAGGGAGGTAATTTGACGCACTTAAGAATTGCTAATAGTCAAATTCTTCTAAAAAAGTTGAATATTTACAAAGTTTGTAGAACCTATACCTTCACTCATACTTTAATTAAATAAAAACAAAAGAAAAACAATATTTATAATAAAATATAAGTTATTTTATTATTCGTTTAGAACCTTGAAAAAAGTGAGATTTAAAATTTGGAGCGCATCGTTTTTATTAGGGCATCACAATACATAGCGTATGTACATAAGTACATACATCATTTCTATAGCAAATAAACGCTTTATACAAAACAAGCAGGATTTCTTACTAAACAAATCAAACTTCATCCACTAACTAAAGTTATTCGGAATACTGTTTTATGGATACCTTCAAATTTTGGTGCAATTTAGTTAATTTTTCTTTAATCTATTTTCACGTTATACATTTGGCACAAAAAGCAAACTTAACATAAATGTCGATTAATAAAAAAATTAACCGAATCGTATCAAAATTTGAAATTATCTAGTAAACGGCATTTTTCAATAACTTTACTTAGTGGATGAAGTTCGACTTGCTTAGAAAAAAATTTCCCCCTGCGTCATTATACCTTCATTTATAATGAGTTCGGGTTTTTTAGTAATAAATATTAAATTTGACTCACTTTACGTGTACTTATCTATTCTCTAAATATATGTGATTAATTCTTTTGCGTGGATTCATTAGTTGGTAAATTTCTTTATGGATTTTTTTGTCGTTTTTCTAGTTGGTTAATCATCACGGGAAATCACGGGTCGATCAACAAAAATTAACCAATCAGACGAATTTGTCCTAAGAAAACAGGGCCATCATAGGCCGAAATTCGTCTGATTGGCTGATGTAAATCAATTGCCTGGGTAACTTATTTATATGTTTTAAAGTACTGTTTTTAGAACTGAACATTTCACTAATAAAAAAAATCGCAAAAGTATCTCAAAACGATCTTACCCCATGGACTTTTCTTAAAAGAACCAATATATTAAACGGCTATTGGTCAATGAGAACTGAACATTTCACTAATAAAAAAAATCGCAAAAGTATCTCAAAACGATCTTACCCCATGGACTTTTCTTAAAAGAACCAATATATTAAACGGCTATTGGTCAATGAGAAATTACGTAGAGCGAATACGATACATATCTGGATCCAATTGACCACCGGAAACATCATTGATTAAATTGGCATGAAGGTACTGTATAAAATTCTTTTATTACGCTAGTTTTAAATAAACTTTTATTACCAACAGCATAAATGGATAGGTACAAGCTCTTTATTATTAAAGATTGAGATTTAATATTTAAATTTAGTCAGTTCTTGTAGTGCGTTTTGGTTTGTCAACCGTAAATTAAAGTTTGGGGTTTAATATATTATACTGTGCCATATAAACGACCCGGGGGTCTTTTGTATGGGTGTGGGTATGATAATTGGGGATTTATTCTATTTCTTTATTTTTTTTCTTAGTATTTTTCCTATTCGTATACCCGGGTCTCTTACATTTTACCAAAATTTTATCCTGTATTATAGACCCGGGTCTAATTCATGGGGGATCTGATATATAGGGGATCTTTTATATGGCACATTACAGTAATAAAGATCGCGTTTACTTTTTTTTTAAACACAATAGTTGATCCAAGTTATTAACTTTCAGCTTATAATAACTACGTTTCATAAGTTGAGATAAATTATATAAGCGAATTAAATCATTCTTATTATCAACAATAACTAACAACCTAATAAAATTATATTAACGTTGAAAAAATTTAGATCTGATAACTTAATTAGAGTTTGCACTCTTCAATCCGCATTTGCTATCAGCCAATTTTTGATAAAAAATATATGCTTTATATTCATCCTTTTCGACTCCAATTCCGTTTTGATAAAAACGACCAACTTTGTATATTCCATCAGTATTTCCCATATCTACAGCTTTTTTATAATAAACGAACGCTTTTTTTTCATCCTTTTTGACTCCAATTCCATATTGATAACAATGACCAACTCTATACGTTCCAGTAGCACTACCCATATCTGCAGATTTTTGATAATAAATAAAAGCCTTGTTTTCATCTCTTTCAACTCCAATTCCATAATGAAAACAATAACCAATATTATATGTTCCATGAGCACTACCCATATCAGCAGATTTTTGATAATAAATAAATGCCTTATTTTCATCTCTCTCAGTTCCAATTCCATATAGAAAACAATGGCCAAGATGCATTACTCCTCTAGCATGTCCCATATTGGCCGATTTGTTGTAATAAAGAAATGCTTCATTTCTGTCCTTTTTAACACCCATTCCTTTTTTATAACAATGAGCAAGTTTATTTAATCCACAAGGATCATCCATTTCAGCCGACATTTGATAATAAACGAATGCGTTGTATTTATTTTCTTCAACCCCGATTCCATATTCATATAATTCGCCAAGATCACACATAGCATAAGAATTTCCCGCATCTGCAGACTTTTTATAATAAATAAACGATTTATGTTCATTCTTTTCAACCCATTTTCCATAACGATAGCAACGTGCGAGAATAGTTAAAAGTATAGAATTTGATTGATTATTTAAGCACAAATTAATTAGATCCTCTGACTTTAATTGATTTCTTGCCAAATATTTTTCTATTGAATTAATGAATTCAAAATCATAACTTCCTTTAAATAATTCTTTTTCATGCAATTCGCATAATTCTTCAATTATTTTTTTATCATTGTTGTTATGCAATTTGCATAATGATAATTCATCAATTATTTGTTTATCTGAGAAGTCCTGAGACTCATTAACATCGTGCAACATATTTATTGGCGTAAAGAATTAGTATCTTGTTCTGATAGTTCTGAATTTCGTCTTTTACTGACCGTTCTGTAAGTATATAGTTTGTTTTAATTAAAAGACAGCTATTTATAAATTTATTAGTATATAGAATTAAAATACTGTACTAGGGTGAGGCGTCAACTAAGTAATCAAAACTATGTTAGCAGATTACGTATAAATTTCTTATATCATAGATTTTCATGTTACACAACAGCAATCCGATTGTCTTGATTACTAATATCGGAAAAAACAGTTTTACTAAATCGCACCAATAGGTGTTCAACACCACATATATTTTAATAGTTTTGCTAGTATAATTTAGGGTTAGGGAACCTAAACTATAGTAAAGATATAGGTTTAGATTTTTGTTAAGGTGAGGTTTTTGAGGGCGCTGAAATTTTTTTTTGCTTAGTACCCCTGACGTGTGTTAACTAGTACGCTTTTGAAATATAGTGTTGAACACCACTGGTGCGATTGAAAAAAAATCATCTCAAAACTATAAATTAAAGCTTGAGCTAAAAATCCAACATTAATTAAACCTTTTGATAGTTCTAATAAACACTCTTCATTCAAAAAAAAAAAAAAGACTCGAAAAATAAGGACTATTTTCGTTTAAATCTAAGTTTGCATTATTTTTATAATTAAACAATATAAAAATAATACGTATTCAAGTTACTACGTAATAAAAATTTGATCATAGTGATTCGCTACGTAAATAGTTTTGATTTACATAGTTTGACACCTCACCAAATACTGTACGTACGTACGTACTACCAGGCACCCGGTTTTTCACAATATATAAGTCAAATGATCGACGCATCTAAATTTTATAAATAAAATTTAGACAAATTTTGTTTTCTAGAATTATTTAATGATTAAAAAGTTGTCAGTTTTAAATTTTTGGTATAAGTTCGCAAATTCTCTAGCATTTGAAGGTTCTTCTCATAAAATTCCAAGGTGATTGGGAATAAAACGAAGAATAATTTGGTTCACGAAGTTGGTCAATTTTTTTACGATTTTTGTTTATGATTACATCATTTATCCAAATAAGTAGCAAAGAGGCGTCAATTAAATTTACGTAAATTTATACCAAATTTGAAAATATCAATTTTAATAACTCCAATTAAGATAATAATATCTAAGTATTCAATTGACGCCTCCTTATTACCTATTTGGGGGACGTCTAAGCCTGGCACTTTCCGATTTCCGATTTTTAATTAATATTAGGGTTAGAGTTAAACATAGACTACGTAGGAGGTTAGTAGATATATAGTAAAATCGCATTTCCGACACTTTTACTTAGTGCATCAAGTGTTTTTGTCGTTGTCTGTTTGTTCGGAATAATACGGGACAACTATCAGGTAATTTCGTAAGGTGCACGACCCCCTATTTCTCAAAGACGCTTGAACCCATTACGCATAACTTGTAATAAATTTGGCCAACTTCGTGGGCCAGATTATTCTTCGTTTATTCCCAACCACTAAACTATTGCTTTATTATTCCAATTGGTATTTTAATATTACTGTCACTAACCTTGAAATTTTATGAAAAGAACTTCAAATGCTAGAAAATTTGCGAACTTATACCCAAAATTTAAACTTATAACTTCTTAATTATTAAATATTCCTAGAAAGCATAATTTTACTTATAAAATTTAGGTGCATTGATTATTTGACTCCATATTAAAAATTTTATGCACATGATTTGCATTACAAATCGGATGTCTGGAAAAAGACCGATTACGTAATATTGGCACGTAGTGATGGGAATTCTTAATATTTTTAATCATTAATAATTTCAATTAGTTGTTAAAAATTGCTATATCATCACAAAAAATCTAATAAAATCAGACTTTAAAAGTCTATCAAAAATTATATGGATTATCGAGATTATCATGAAATTTGGGGCTCAATTTGAAAATATAAGACCTACCAAAATCTACCTATACTCTTTTATTAATAATTCTAACCCTAAATTCTAACTTAACAATAAAATAAAAGCCTACAAAAAAGGCTCTAAAAAATTGTAAAAATTATATATAAAATAGATCCAAATTCTGATTTTATAATAATCTATAACAAAAATTATGATTTTATTGCAGTATGTAGAAATTATATATACTGTAATATAGTTAAAAATCTTGTACTATACAGTATAGTACAGTACAGAGATGGCAAATGACCAGGTCTTTTGCTTGAACCCAAGACCAATAAACCAATAGACCAAGTTTATTGGTCTTTAGGTTATAACCAAATGACCATTCACATGATACATATTTACCAATAAAAATTTTTTATTTTTTTAAAAAAATCTATTAATTAATGACTATTTATATAATACATATTGACCAATAAGAATTCTTTAAAATAAATGGTCATTTGGTGGTCTATTGATAGTCTATTCGTTATTCATCAATAGACCAAAAAATAAAGACCAAAAGACCCTACGGTCTATTGGTCTGTGGTCTTTAATGTATCATTCCTGGTATTATACAATTTCTTGATTCTTTAAAAAAGTTTTCTTGCCAAATTTCTATATCATATCAATTATCTTCTTTAATGATAAGTAAAAACAGTGCATATTATTTGGTCAATACCATCAAATATATGCTATATAGTATATATTATTATCATATTTATATTGAAAAAAGAATAATATTTTTCCTGAATATATATCTACAGAATTGTCTTTATAAGCCATGAACTTCACTCTGATATATGAATGATTTTCATATTTAGAGGCAATCTTTGATCCATATATTTTTGCACCAATTTTTAATCTTCTAAACTGAGTAACAGCTCATTCTATTGATATTGGCTCAGTTATATAAAAATCACTATAAAGCTCTTCAGATAGTGTAGAATAATATTTTATTAAATTTTGATAAAATTCATCAGGAGTATATACATTCTTATTTATCTTTCTGATCATCTCACCGGATATTTTTCTGTACTAGTAATTATATTAACATTATTAATTTTATCTACTATCTTTAGATAATCTATCAAATCCTCATACTCAAAGTTTTCAGTTATTTTTAAGCTTCTATACACTTTTTTATCTAAAAGAGAAAGAACTTAATCTAATAATAATTTAGCCTCACCTATATCAACAGAATTCATTCTAAATTTTACTTGCGTATTTTCATTAGAATGCATATAAGTTCAGATTCAATAGACTAATTACTTGTGGAGTAAGTTCCTAATAGGCCATTCATTCATTCAAAAAATAGTACCAATAAGCTTAATGTAGACCATAATTCAGATAACATTGTCTTATATGAAGAGACAAGTAAATATTTGATGATATCATATGTTGATCATAATTATCCTTAATTAACTTTGCCATGTTTATTAGCCTTGTATATGCTTTATCTAGATTACTTTGCTTGATTATTCAGTTTATTAATAAATTACATGTATAGACAAAATTAAAAATTATTTTTTTATCTTCAAGCTTTAGTATATCCCACATATATAGAATAGTATATACTTGATAAAATATCATCTACTGATCTGCTGTAAATCGATTAAATTCTTTTGATCCACATGCAACTTTTGATAGAATACATCTAATTTCTGAAAAAACCTTTACATTTGATATATACTTTTTGATTATTATAAGTTGGTCTCTATTAAGTTTATTATTATTTAATAAATATAACTTTATTATCCACTTGCTAATATCTAAAAATAGACAATACATTAAATCAACTACCATAAATTTAACTGAATCAAAATATTTCAGCTGATATAGTTCTAACTATCTTATTCCGGTTCTTTTCATATAATTATCTCATTCTTTTTTATTTTTACAAGATAATCATTCATTCGCTGCTTTAAAATTTTGTGATATATCTATAGGATTAAACTATTCATCCATATTTTCAAAACCACCATAATGATTTCTTTTGGTTTTACAGTTATATCTTGTATACTTTAAGCAACAATGACATTTTATTGTATAATTTGTATGATCACAAATTTTTCTTGCAGTAGGAATATTAATGCTACATAAATTCTTTGTCTTTCTTTATATTCAAAAGTTGCCAGTAGTTTTATATCTGAGGATAGTTCAATTAACTTATCAACAATTGATACTAAGTAATTGTTTATTTGATGCTTACTAGGTTTATTTAGTCCTAGAATGATATTCAATATTAAAATATTATTTAGCTTAAATCATGCTTCACGTGATAAATTATATAAAACTCCATAAATTACTCCAGTATTATGAACTGTATAATCAAATAGTTGAAACCAATTGATATTAATAGCTAGACTGATATATATATCTAATTTGTTTTAAAAAAATGGACTCAGATTATCTGGATTTATAGCAAAGTTTTTCCAGATATTTCTCTCATATATATCTAAGAAAATTCTAGCTGAAACATTTCTATTACTTAAATGCTTTAATATTTTCTCAAAGCCTTCTCGCTAATATATTATTTAAAGTTGTTGTTTTATGCTTCCAATTGAATAAATTTTTAATGATCATAATAAAGTACTATCTATTGTATTTATTAACTCTACTAATAGCTTATTACATACTGATCATTGTATTAATAACTTATGATTTGGATATTCTATATGAACATATATTTTATATACTAATTGATTATCTTTTCATAATTTTTTATTTCTAATTAATTATAGAGTTTATGATACTTAGGTCACACAATATATTTTTTGTATTTAGTTAAAATACCTAAAGATAATTTTATAGTATATATTGTTTTTGATAATTTATCAGCTTCATTTATTTTGAAATGTTTAAGTAAAGAACAAGAAATTTTGTTAAAACTTCTATACCAGTATCAGATACATTGAAACGTTACTGATATTTCATTATCTATAAGATAATCCAATTATTTAGATTATTATCAAAATTGAATGGTCAATCAAAAATTTTAGGATCAATTTCTAGTGAAATAAAATACTTTTTTGAATAAAATTTGCTATAAATGTATAAAACAAATT